GACCTTTCATGATAGGGAGGTGGTTTTGAGAGTCTTGTTTTATTGCATTTATTGAACTTGCACACTTTGGTTCATAGGCCATCATGCAATGAAATTGCAAAGATTGATGATTTGTGAACCAAGTTTACTACTCCTTCGAGCTGTTCAAATGATAAGGAGGAGCAAATTGTACAAACAGACCCTTGAGAATACACTGTCTCTGCTCTATTTGCTCTCTGTTGCAGTAGAGAAGTTCAGTCACCAGTGGTTGGTAGGCCACTATTGTTGGCCAGCAAGCCATCATTAGTGGACGACAAGCCCTCTGTCGGCCACCAATGCAAAATCCAGCATTGTACTTCCTTAGCAAAATAGAGTTGGTCTGGAGGTGGAAATCAATGCAAGTGTCCTACTATGCAACAGAGGCATTCAGCAGCAAAAACAGTGGCTTTTCCGCATTCATGCATAAGCCCCCCATCGATCCTCGGGATCCGTGTTGTAAATACATTAGTGTTGTGCTTAAAATAGTAGCTTTGTAATTAATTAGTTAGAATAGCTAATTCGTCTTGTGTTGTAATTATTTTAATTAGCTAAATTAATTAATTAATTAGTTCATTCGATTTGTAATAATTAGTTAATTAGCTTAGCTAAATTATTCATTTGTTGCTATAATAGCTAGATAATTAGTTAGCTAGTTAGTTTATTCGGACTTTCCTTCGTGAGAGCGCAATGTAGTAATAGCGTGTATGTCTTCCAACCCCACATCTTTCTCATTTTTTTTTGCTAGCTTATAATAGTTAGTTTAGGGACATCACGTTTTGTTTAGCATTCTCCATGTTTGCATCCATTTGTATTGCATGCACCGATGCTTGGTTCATCATTCTAACTTGCATTGTTAGTTTAATACTTCTTTGAATACGTGCTTAGACCGCATGTTATGAAATTGATTCATATGCTATATTAGTAGCCGAGCTTATCAATTGCATATCGCATGTGTTGCATTAGTCATATTGTATAGTTAGGATCATGCATTGTTCTAACTTATTTCTCTTTTTGGCGTGGAGTACTAGGTGAGCCTTTACTCGTTTTAGCATGTCGCATGTGTGTGATTGTTCCATGTTTAGCATGCTTGCCATGAGGGTAATTATTTAAGTGCTATAATTGTTTGAATTCCTGTGAATGAAGGCTAATTGCTTGAATTAGAATAATTTGAGTAATGTTCATATGCGATCACTTTTTCAAGTGGTACATATTTGAAACAATTTTTAAAACAAACATGAATCGAGATGTTTCAATTCTTGGAATTTAGTCTATACTTGTGTGTTCGCGCATCACATAGTAATGCTAACCTAATAAATTGGGACAGAAGCATATAATGTAGATAAGATTCATATCATGATTAGTAGATGCCGATATTTTGATCGGGGCTGCTCAATTCATGACCTTCCCCTCTCGTACCTAAGTTCCCAAGTTGAGACAATCTTGGTAATGACGGACACGTGGCCTTTGGCACGAGTCATGGGTTTCCTAAATTTCTCAAAAATAAAATATTTAGATAGTGACTCTGTATCTGGCAAAATAGTCCATTTTTAGCAACTCGATTCAAAATTAATTTTTCAAAAGATTTGCCGGATTGGGACTCTTTGTTGTTTATCTATTGTACATTGTACTTGTGGAATCAGATTCAGAACCACAGGAGTCCGATACTGTAGGGCTTCTTCGTTTTCCGAAAGTGGGTGCGAAAAAGTCGAGCTGCAGTGCTGTGGGTCCAAGGATGACATTGTAGACAGAAAGACAATCGACAACCAGAAAGGTAAGAATCTTCGTATTTTGCCTTGGGTACTCACTGATAATGATTGGTAGATTGATGGACCATATAGAAATTACCCGGTCCCTAGTAAAGCCAACTAAAGGCGTTTGCAGAGGCAATAACTTTTCTTCACGAATCTGGAGCTGCTTGAAAGCATTGAGGAAGATAATGTCTAAGGAGCTACCATTGTCGACGAGCACACGTCGAACCATGTAGTTGGAAAGGAAGGAGGAGATGACAAGAGGGTCATCGTGGGGGTATTGGATGTCTTCGCAATCTATATCTGTGAAGCTAATCGGTTCCGACCATTGCTTGGGTTGCTTTGGGGGTCGATCGACCAGCATTACTTCCTTGTCTGACCCTTACATGATTCGTCGCAGCTCGGCCCACTGTGTCGATCGCGACGGTCCGCCGTACGCAAGTCCACCTGCAATGACCCTTATTTCACCAGCTGGGGAGCGGAGGATCCTGGAGCTTAAGGTTGGTGTTGGGCCCTGTCACCCTCCTGCTGAGGCTGGTCGGTCGGTCGTGGTGGGGTGTGTCTGTCGTTTCACTTTGGGGAGTTGATTTTGGCCCTTTGGTGAGGTCGGGTCAGTGAAACAAGTCAAGCGTCCTTGACGGACCAGGTCCTCGACTTGATCCTTAAGGTTGACGCATTTATCCGTGTTGTGGCCATGGTCATAGTGAAAGCGGCAGTATTTAGACTGATCCCGTTGATTGGAAGGAAACTTAGAAGGTTAGGACCATTTCAAGTTATAATCCTGCTAGATTTGGTTTAGGACATGCTCCATGGACGTGTTGAGAGGGGTGTACCGCTCGAAGCGGCCTGGCGGTCGGCGAGAAACAGCTTGGTCGCAGCGTGGAGGTCGGTCAGGATGAGTGTATTGGGGATGTCTAGGTTCTGACTCTTTTCTCTTGTCTTTGGGTTGTGAGGGTTTAGGTGTAGAGTCTTGGTGGGCTACTAAAGAGTCTTCTGCGTTCATGTATTTTTAGGCTTTGGTAAGGATGGTGGCCATGGTCATCGGAGGGTTTTTGGAGAAAGAGAAAAGGAAATCCGATAGGCATAGTTCGACCATGAAGGTTGTTAAGATGACTTTATCATCATTCTCTTCAACTTGGAGAGCTTCTGAATTAAAGCAAGTGACAAAACTGCGCAACAATTCCCTGTCAGTTTGTCGAATGTTCAACAGCTGGGTCGCCGGTCGTCGCTGACGTTGAGTGCCGATGAAATGGCTCAGGAAGGAGTCACTTAGCTGCTTGAAAGTGGTGACAGAGTCCGGTGGTAATTAACTAAACCATAGTCGCACCGACCCTTTGAGCATTATGGGGAAAGCACGACACATGATTTCTTTAGGAAAAGCATGGAGGATCATGAGGGTCCTGTAAGCTTCTAGATGGTTGACCAGATCGGTTGTGCCATCGAAGGTGTCGATTGGCAGCATCTTGAACTTGGAAGGTAGGGGTTTGTCCCTAATGGACGCGGCAAAGGGGGAGTTGGCTGTTGTGGAAGGTTTGCTCTACATGTTCTGCATAACCCCCTGGAGTTGGAGCTTCATGGCTCACAGTTCTGGGTCCCAAATGGGGACATTGTCACTGTCGGAGGGGAATGAAGGTTGAATGCTGCTAGCCTCACCTTCGGGGACGGGAGGGTGGTGTAAGGGATGCGAACCCTGATGTGGGGGCCGTAGGCCCTCCGAATTTGGCAGGTGAGCTTGTGGGATGAAAGGAGGGGGAAGTGGTTCTCGAGAAGCATGTGGTTGGAGTAGGTGGCTTAGAGTTTGTTCCCGGTTTGAAGGGATGTTTGGTGGTGGTGGTGGTGACGGAGGAATGAGGAGATTCCATTGGAGCAAGGCATTGATCAAGGCCTGGTTTTGCTTGGTTAAACAATTGATACTATCGATGAGTTCGACGAAATATGGAGATGGGTTGTTTGTATTAGAGGACTCAGCTTTAAGATTACTAGCATTGTATTGGGAAGCCATGGGCCTGGTTATGACCATCCACCCTGAAATAAGAGGTGGGTGATAATGGGGTTCCTTCCGGTGACAGTGAACACAACTGTCTTTGCGAAAAAGGGTTCCCATAGACAGCGCCAACTGATGATACTGCGGTTCCAACGGAGGATGGGCCGGACTGATCCATGCTTCCAACAGCAAGTCTGCTGACTTCGGTGTTTCCCAGACAAGCCTGTAAAAAGGTCCAGAGGAGGAAAGGATCCCCCGACAGACTCTCCGACGACCAAGTTAGGTTAGGGGAGATTGATTATTGATAGATCGAAGAGACGGAAGAACTTAACCTTTAACGTATCTCGAAAGTTTCCTTATATCATTTGCTTATCATTTTCTTGTTTATTCCAGACTGTCTTGTTGGTCGAAAGTCTAGATTCTAGCTCGCATCGTTCATGGTAAGTCTGTATCCTCCGACGTGAAGGGGTTATCGCATTTAATGTTAGGAGAGCCTCATTAATGGCTGATGTGTAGGTGCAATAATTTTGCAAGATCTTTGTCTGCCTACATGACTGATTCCCTGCTCGACAGGTGTTTGAATACTCTTGGTCTTGGTCCATCATTGGTTTCTCAAAGTTACTGGGCTTTAATATATAGTCCGTGGGCTGGGTCCTAATTCGTGGACCGGACCCTTTTAGATGTCCATTATGTTGTCAGTTATGGTCCAGAATTCCCAGATCGTGGGTTGGGCTCTCTTGGATGCCCATCAATACTGATTTTAATCATTATTGACTTTAGAAATCTTTTCCAAATTTCAATTCTTCAACCCTCAAACTATTTTTCCTTACTATATTCCAAGCCTTGAATAATCAAATGCACAATAAATATAAGCTGGACTCTTTGTTTTGTAGGGGGTTTTAAATCTAGGTTTGGTTTTTAAATCTTCTTCTCTTCTCGTTTCTCAACTTTTCAGCTTTAGCTTGTGTTTCTGCTGACCTCTTTCTCTTTTCCATTTTTTTTTTCTTGAGTTTTAGTTCCAAAACTACGTCGTTTTGGAGGCACTACACAGGATCTAGACTTCAAACAATGCTTCTATGACATGTGTTTTTTGTTTGATGTTGTGGGCGGAGGGGGCCCATCGTTTTGATTTTTAAAATGTAGTTAAAAATACTGACAGAGCACCTTGTGGTCCCCCCTCAACTATCGGATCGAACTCTCAGTAGAATATTCCAGATCCGACTCCTTATTGAGCAGCTCACGATTCTTACCATGACCTCTCTCACACCTGATCCTTACTCCTCCCCGTGTTTTCATTCATAATTAATCACCGACCGATCACGTTCTCTCTCGCTCCTTCGCAGTTTGTGGTACGCCGAGACTTTTCTCAGCTCAATCCAAAAAACCAAAAACGAAAACAAGGTAATTTGATTTCATCTCCTTAATCTTCGTGTTCTTGTTGAATTCTAATAATCATCTAATTTCGATTTTTTGAACGCTGTTGTTCAGAAATTGTGGATTTTTATGTAAGCGTATCTGAATATGCTCTTGGATTGTACATATAGCTGTTTTTGTTTATATGTTTATTGGATGATGATTTAGAGTTCATGTATTGTTTAACAACGTTAAATGATTCATTGTTGGTCTTAGCTTTTTTTCTTTAATGTTGTTGATGGATGCGGTGTGGATTAACATTTGATGAACACAAATCATTTGATCCCTTATTGGTTGGTTTTGTTTTGTATCTACTGATTGAATTCTGGGTTTTTGTAGATATTATCCCAAAAGATTATTTTATTTAGAATAACATCTGGGTGGTGTCGAATTCAGTGATTGACAGTGGACATAATTTTATACATTTCTTAATTAATTTGGATGTTTCTTAAATGGATGCCAAAGTAGGAGACCATTAGATAGAAAGAGAAATTTTGAATCTAAATTAATGTAACAATTATAGACGGTTGATTTTAAATTTTAATGGCATGACCTCGTGCCTTTGAAATGGAAGGAATCTTAATCTGGGACGGATTAGTATAGGTTCAAAGGTTTATAAATTGGAAAATAATGACCGTCCAATGAATGGTTATTGTATCGATTATACACGTAGAATGTATATAAAAATATATGAGAAATGTATATAAAGATGAAAAAGTATATATGAGAATATGTGGAAGTGTATTGAGATTTAAACTATTTCGATATTATTCTCACCTTAAAGACAGCCCAATGGGCTGTTTTTGCATGACCCTATAAAATTAGGCATTGTTCTTATGATGATGCTCTTTGCTTCACCCCTCCAGGGTGAGTAAATAGTCTTCATAAATTTCTTTTCCTTCTTTCTTGCAAGTTTGGCAGGAACAAGCTTATTCTTGGTTGCCAATTGAATGTGCAAAATTTTAGCACAACACAATCTTCACTTAATCTTCATGTCGTTGTAATAAGACACAGTTTCAGGACAAGCTTGTGGTGATTATTGTTTTTTGGGATTTCTTTTCACAATTTTTTTGCATAAATTCTGAAGCAACCACAGTATTCTTGTGGTCCTGTGTAACATTTTATTTGCGTCCACATGCTGAATATTATGTAGATTAGAAGTGCTCACTGTAAATCGCTCAATGGAAGCTGATAATTGCATGACAGTTGTTGATGCACGTGCTCTTATAAGTATGCAATTACAATTTATTTGAATCAGTGTCTTAATGATGATGATTTCTTTCAATTTTGCCTTTTATTTGTTGTGTGCAAACATTAAATATACCTTTTTTCCGTGGTGTTTAGGTCTACATCAAGTTTTTGCAGTTGAAGTTAATTCTTGACATTCCTCTGCTTGTCAGCATTTTCTAATTGATCTTTTTTTAAAAGAGAAGCCAGGGAATGCTGAAAGATGTGCATGACTGTTCAGAACCCTTTCTGTGAAGTCCACAACGTGTTGGCCTTACAACAGCCACTCTTCTTCAGCTCACATGAGACTGGGCCTTTAAATCATAGCTTATTCATTCCACATGCCCAAAAGCACAAAGGGATAAGCAATTATAAAATGCCACTTGTTTTAATGCACTATGTGTGCGAAGACGGTTGAGCTACTTCTACCGTTAATTACTCCTGCAAGGTAGGTTTCATACGACATATTAGCAGGAGATAGAGTAGTATATAGTCCTCCATTAGCTCTGGAATGGACACCAGAAGTGGTGTGTTGATGGAAAGATATGAATTAGGGAGATTATTAGGCCAAGGAACCTTTGCTAAGGTTTACTATGCGAGAAGTCTCAAAACTGGCCAAAGTGTGGCCATTAAAATGATAGACAAGGAGAAAGTTTTGCGGGTTGGGCTTGTAGATCAGATTAAACGAGAAATATCTGTTATGAGAATGGTCAGGCACCCTAATATTGTGCAGCTTTATGAAGTCATGGCCACCAAAACAAAGATTTATTTTGTCATCGAATTTGCTAAAGGAGGTGAACTTTTTGACAAGGTGGCTAAAGGAAGGCTGAAGGAGGATGCTGGTCGAAAATATTTTCAACAATTGGTCAATGCTGTTGATTTCTGCCACAGTAGGGGCGTCTATCACCGGGATCTGAAACCTGAAAACTTACTTTTAGATGAGAATGAGAATCTGAAGGTTTCTGATTTTGGATTGAGTGCACTTGCTGAATCAAAGCGCCAAGATGGGCTTCTTCATACCACTTGTGGGACCCCTGCCTATGTTGCTCCTGAGGTGATTAACAGGAAAGGCTATGATGGTGCCAAAGCTGATATTTGGTCATGTGGGGTGATCTTATATGTTATTTTGGCTGGTTATCTCCCATTCCATGATTCAAATTTGATGGAGATGTATAGGAAGATTGGCAAAGCAGAGTATAAATGCCCCAATTGGTTTCCAGCGGAAGTACGGAAGCTACTATCAAAGATGTTGGATCCAAATCCCAATACTAGAATTTCTATTGCCAAAATTAAGGAAAATTCCTGGTACAAAAAGGGATTGAACAAACCAACAATAACTGATGCGGAGAGCAAGATGGCATCTTCTTCAAATGCTGATGCAGCTTCTGCTTCATGTGAGAATAGTAGTATGGCTGCTGAGGAAAAGCAAGAATTAGTGAAAGCTGCAAACTTAAATGCTTTTGACATCATTTCCCTTTCTGCTGGTTATGATCTATCAGGCTTGTTTGAGGAGTCTCATCTAAGGAAAGAAGAGAGATTTATTTCGAGACAACCTGCCTCAGTAATCATATCAAAACTAGAGGAAGTTGCAAAGCGTTTGAAAATGAGGGTGAGGAAAAAGGGCGGAGGGTTAATACAGTTTGAGGGAATGAAGGAAGGTAGAAAGGGGATCTTGTCCATTGATGCGGAGATTTTTGTAGTCGCTCCATCATTTCATTTGGTGGAGGTGAAGAAATCTAATGGAGATACGCTGGAATACCAAAAGATACTGAAAGAGGGTATGAGACCCGCTCTCCAAGATATTGTTTGGGCTTGGCAAGGTGAGCAGCAGCAGCCACAACTAGAACTACATCTGGAACCAGTCCCACCACAACAGCAAGAACAACTACAGCAGCAGCAGCAACCACAACAGAAAGAACAACTACAGCAGCAGCAGCTGGACCAGTTACCTTGATCATTGGTCCATTGCCAATGTTCAATATTGGATAAATTTTGTAAATTTTTCTATTCTGCCCTTTTTTCAACATCTATTGTGTGTCCTTGTTTGTATCATAGCTTTACCAATAAACTTGAAATTGTGTTTGCTTTCTTCACAACATACCGTACATAAGCAACACATGTTTTGATTTTGCAGATTCTAAAAATGCTCTCTTTTTTCTGCAATTGCATTTGTGTTGCACAATCTGTTACATAGCATTTGTGCATACCATGAAAGGTTTGCTTGCTCACTGAGATGTGGGCACTTACAGACACACCACACCACATCCACCATGACTATGAAGTCTATAATGCTTATGTATTCGTCTAAAAAATAAAATAAGATAGCAGAGTATTTTGCATTGAAGGTAAGTTCAAGTTGTGGAGGTAACAAAATACCAATTTTTTTTTTCTTGGATTCATGTGTTTATGTATCTTCTTTTTGGGTATTAAATATTAATTCATGCATCATATGTTTCCTCTTAGAACACAGTCAGAAAATGGTCAGTGGAAGTATTACTCCCTGTTACAAGAAATCTTTAAGTAGATACCCTAGCTGCCTTTTGTTGCTCATATCAAGGTTTTGTATGATATGTAAAGCACTTCTTATGGTGCAAATTCAAATTTGGTGTAATGTAGGTCACAATCCAGAATGAATCTTTTTACATATTTAATTTTCTAAACACTTTTCTGTTGACTTTTCATTGGGCGTGTGACATTTTTGTATGATCTATCCACTTGCAAACCAATTCCAATCAAGCGCGCAAACAAACACACTTTGAGTTGCCAAAACAAAGAAAGCTGTGAACACCACTTGAGTCCTTTGGTTTGATGAATCATGATATTTTCAGGTCTACTTGGAATGATTGATAATGAATCTCTTAGTACCACATGGACATGCAATTACCACTCATTGTGAACATTCCTGTGGTGTTCAAGTAAAGTACATCCAAAAGGATCTTCTTTGATTACTGTTATCTCTACACTACACTTCAAAAGTCAAGACAGCAACTTTTTGCAGCATGTGATGTGGATAATGATATGTATCCAATTGTCTCCCCTGCTCTACAAGGCCCAAGTGTCTTTGCTTATCTTGAACTCCTCCATTGGCCATTTCTACTTGTGGTTGAGAAGACAAACAATTAACCACAGAATCTCTCAGGAGGAGCCATGTTCTGGTCCAAGAAGACCTTGGCCCCACCTGTTTTCAAGAAAATCTGTTAAAAGTAGGATGTTTGCTTTTGCTATATGGGTTGCTCACCTTTATATGGTTTTTCTTCGCTATCACTCCTTTGTAGTGGTTGACCTAAAAGGTATATATGTATAGGATACTATACAAAAAAGTTCAATTAGGTGTGATGCATTAGCTCTATAGAATTCTTATGAGAGATTTTACAATACTAAACTCCCATGACTTAACAAAACATGAAAAATAAATAAAGTGGTATGACCTAACAAAAAAGCCGAGCAATACAATGCTTGAATTATATATAAAAAAAGAAAAAGAAAAATTAGAAGACCGCGCATCAACTCCAATGTATAATAATCAAACCTTAAATAAATAAATAAGCCTCCAATGTATAATACTATAGCTGCAAAGAGTCATTTATTATTATTTTATTTTTTTATTGCTCTGAATGGTTTAGATTTAAGGTTTTTTGGTGAAATTTTGGATTTTAAGAAAATACTAAATTCTACATTTTCAGTTGTGTATTCACACCGAAATAGTTAATTTCTTTTAAAGATTATTCTTATGTTGCTTGTTCTATTACCAACTGTTGAAGATTGGCTTTGATTCACCAATGTCAATAATAGCTGTTGATTGAAGACAAATGAAGGAGTTGAAAATTTGGGCTAAAGATTCAATTGAGCTACTCCATCCTAGGGTGGCTGATTTTCAGATTTTATCACTACAAGAATTTAAACATTTGGCGATCAAAATTGGTGACCAAAGCAATTTTAGTCACCAAAGGTTCAAAATTTGGCTACCATTTTAATTTAGTCGACATACATTGTTTTTTGGTGACTAAAAAAAATTTAGTTGTGAAACATATAGTTATATGCGACAAAAAAAACAAGCAGTCGCCAAAAGTTAATATTTTATGCTACTAATTCTAAGTTTAGTCGCAGAACAAGTTGATTTGGCGACTAAAATGTGAAATAGTTGCTAAAATTTGAAAAAAAAAAAATTAGAGGGAAACCAATATAATTTGGCGCGCGATATGTCTGTCTCTCTCTCTCTCTCACACACACACAATATACATTGTCTCAAACAAATTTTTCTCTCTTTCGACACTACCAAGCCTCACCCCGCTCACCACCGTCGTTGGCCACCGGCGAGAGAGACCGTCGCACATCGCCACCGCTGCCTGCAAAGCACCAGTGCCACTTAATTCCAGGTATGTTTCTCTCGCTCTATCGCTCTTGGTCTCTCTCCCTCTCTGTCGCTTTCAGTCTCTATCTTTATCTATCAATGGAGCTCTCTCCTTCTCTGTGGATCTCGGTCTCCCTCTCTCTCTCTCTCTCCCCCTTCCTTTATTTCCCCATTTCTCACACTTGCCCTAGGGTTTTATATAATTTTTGTTGTTTAATTTTGTGTTGATTTCCTACACTTGGTATAGGGTTTGTGTTGATTTTTACACAGAAATCCCAAATTTAAGCTGGATTGAGCAAGAATTTGGGACATGATTGGGGTATTCTAATTCTAGACTATTTAGTAATAGAAATGAACTTGTACAGAATGTATTGTCCACTTTCAGTCAAGATGCTACTAATTCTAAGTTTAGTCGCAGACCAAGTTGATTTGGCGACTAAAATGTGAAATAGTTGCTAAAATTTGAAAAAAAAAAATTAGAGGGAAACCAATATAATTTGGCGCCCGATATGTCTGTCTCTCTCACACACATACACACAATATACACTGTCTCAAACAAATTTTGCTCTCTTTTGACACTACCAAGCCTCACCTCGCTCACCACCGTCGTTGGCCACCGACGAGAGAGACCGTCGCACATCGCCACCGCTACCTGCAAAGCACCAGTGCCACTTAATCACAGGTATGTTTCTCTTGCTCTGTCGCTCTCAGTCTCTATCTTTATCTATCAATGGAGCTCTCTCCTTCTCTATTCATCTCGATCTCCCTCTCTCTCTCTCTCTCCCCTTTCCTTTATTTCCCCATTTCTCACACTTGCCCTAGGGTTTTATATGATTTTTGTTGTTTAATTTTGTGTTGAATTTGAGTTAATGTTGTGTTGATTTCCTACCCTTGGTATAGGATTTGTGTTGATTTTTACACAGAAATCCCAAATTCAAGCTGGATTGAGCAAGAATTTGGGACATGGCTGGGGTATTCTAATTCTAGACTATTTAGTAATAGAAATGAACTTGTACAGAATGTATTGTCCACTTTCAGTCAAGATGTTGAGAAAACTGAAGCGAATGTGGGAAACCCAAATGGATTACGAACTTTAAACCAAGATATAGAAATTTGGCATTCATTTTGCTTTTCTATGATTCGATCCCTAGCTTCAAGCTCTGTATTGCGGTTCTGTACTTATGAATTGTGTCATTTGCTTTCCATTAATTCCTTTTTCAGATCCATGAATCTGTGACATTATGTTGTGAAATACAGGACATGCTCTCTCTTTATGCTGTGTTGTTTTGTTTAGTATCAAATAAATGTCTGGGAGTGAAATTAGGTTCAAATTGGTTTGACTTGTTCGCTTTATTCATATCAATCTCTCTCATTTGATTGTTCTCTTGAGCTATATCAAACCTATATTCATGTCATTTTTGTTCAGCTAAGTGGATCTACTTGAAGAAACATTTAATTAAGTTATATGCTTTGTAATTAAGTTTGTTTGGGCTAGATGTCACACACACACACATATATATATATATATGTGTGTGTGTGTGTGTGTATGTGTGTGTGTGTGTATTTTTGTTTATCTTCATTCTCCAGTTTTGTTGGCAAAAAGAAGGAAAATGGAAAAGGATCTGTTTTTTCTCCAGATGATCGTGAATTTTTTTTTTTTATTGAAATGTGTAAAAGGTGTATAAAATTATGTAAAAATGCTTAGGGATGTGTAAAAGTTGTATTGAGATTTTAATTTTTGTGGAATTTTTTTTTTTGTTGACAGCTTATTGGGCTGTTATTAGCATGACCCTATTTTTATTTTCTTGGTGATTAGCTTCTAGTTGTGCTGATCTCGATTTGAGTTTAATAGCTGGGTATTGTCTAGAGTCTTTTCAGACCTCATAAGCTGGTAGAGATGGGTTTTAGCTGATAATATAACTGATAATATGCTCGTCACATAGGACTAAAATGAGGGAGGTCAGTCCACATCAGTCTAAATTAAGGGAGATCCGTGTCAACCCGGATATTCCAGTGAAACTTCAGAATGTTGTTGGAAGATTCGTCCACACCATTTTGCAACAGCATCATAGTAATTCTCACATATGAAAATAGCATACCCTAGCACGCAATGGGAGTACTAATACCAAGGGTATTACAAGGACTTCATTAATTTAAAAGACAAGGTACTAGGTGCTCAAGTTTTGTATATCTTGCAGGATACACTGCATCACAACTGACTCCAGTACAACCAACCATTGATTTGGTGAATGCTTCTGAAGTTAGAAATCTAATTCTGTTGAAGGGATACTTCAAAGGGTCTTGTAATACATGGGATCATACTTTTGATGGTGTTATGCACCATGATCTTGGATTATGTGCTCTTGGTGGACTTATTAGTCATCTATCCAGGATGACGGTAAGCTTTTTCCTGTTGCATGTTTTTCGATTGATAGTAATATATGTGGTACTTTCAACGACTGACACTTTTCACTTTTGGGTAGTTAGATGATGTTTTGCATAACGGAGATATTCGACCATACCAAGTCTATAAGGGTTACCTCAGAATGGATGGGTAGACACTGGTTAATCTTGAGATTTTTGGTAATAATGTTGATGGTGGTCCATCAGGCAAGTGTTCATAAACTCACCTTCAATTATGATACTTAGTTTTAGAGGTCGTGCCTTATAGTTAATAGTTTTGTTTTCTTAGTTATACTCTTATAAGTTTCTTTTATTCGAGTTTCAGGTACACTTTACAATTATCTTAATAACTTTTTGACATCATCTGGTAGACGACTTTTAAAGAATTGAATCTGTCATCCTCTAAAAGATTTAGAGCAAATCAACTGTAGGCTTAATGTTATTAGGGAGCTAATGGCACATTCAGAATTTATGTCACTCATTGCTCAATATCTTCGTAAGTGTCCAGACTTGGACAGGTTGCTTGGACGGGTTAAGGCTAGCTTTCAGTCATCTGCTTCACTTGTACTGCCTTTGATTGGCTGAAAGTTTTGAAGCAGCGAGTAAGTCTTGTCTACTTCTAACATGGGACGATAGTAATGGTGTTCTTCTGCTGGTCTGTTATGTGGTAACCATTTATTTAGATTTTGGTCTAGTAACTGTGTGTGGCCTTTGTTGACTCGCTAATAATTCTTGAAATTATACATACTAGTATACAAAGATAATTAGAATATATCTTTTACTAGTTTGTAGGAAAAAAATCATTTTGTATCAATTCTTTTTGTTTGATCAGAATATATATTTGTCTGCTTGTGGCACAAGTAAAAAAGTTTGGGGCTTTTGTTAAAGGCCTACGTGTTGGAATGGATTTGTCGATACTTTTGTAGAATGAGGGGCGTATGATCTTATCATTATCGAAAGTTCTAAAGCTTCCATTGCTAAATGGTAATGATGGGCTTGATAAATTCCTTGCTCAATTTAAAGCAGCTATAGAAAGTGACTTCCCTAACTACCAGGTTTGCTTTTTTATCATTTATTAAACATAATTTCTTCCAAGACTTTTCTGCTTATGTATCTCGACTACATGGCGAATTCTGGCTGATCTACTAGCCGTCAAATAGATGTTGGCTGTTATTAGCGTGCTCTGTATTCGAGTACTATACGATGCAAATGTCACTTTAGATATATACTAATTTATTTGGCTCCAAGGTGGACATCACCTGCAGAGTTATGTATTAAAGCATCTCACTTTGTGTTATCCAATTTGTTTCTGTTGTAAGCAAGATATCATGCAAGAAAAGCAAGATATACATCTTTATGTATTAATTTGGTTGTCCTTATCCAATAGTATATTAATATTTCTGTTTTTCTGCCTACATCATGTCCCATTTGAATAGTGGTTGACTGGTTGAGATTCATGATGTTTATGATCAGTTCAGATGTGTGTTCAAGCCATAAACACTTGTTGAACTAATTTACTACATTTTTCAGTTCTTTAAAACTATAAGGTGAATTAAACTGTGGAAACTGAAGAAGCAAGTTATGTATTTTTTTCCTTTAAGCCTTCTTGATGCTAATTGTGAACTTCAAAAATATAATTGTAAGTTCTGCTGGAAAAATGTTGGTGTTGCATCTATGGTGAAAAGTGCATTTGTTTACCAAAACATATTGTTGCAGGCTCATGATGACATATGATATATAGCATCTCTTATAGTTCAAATTCAACAAAAAGTTCTACATTGTGTGCTCCTCTGTTGCATATTTTAAGTTCATTTATCACTAAACATGCTTGTTATCATTCCATGAAATGCAACTGTATAGCATTAGTCATGATGAATGAAGTTCCAACTTGCGTACTACACACTAAAATTACATGCTTAGTGGATTTTATGAGATGATGAGGGTAGGAGTATCATGTATCTTTGCACTATTTGTATTAATTTCGGTACATTTAGTCTTACTAAATATACCGAAATTAATGCTTGTATTTTTTGTAACTTTAGGAGAGGTCCGTGTAATTTATCCTTTTCTAAATGCATAGAGTATCACTGTCAAACATTATACTTGGATAAGGATATGAGTATGAGATATGTAGACAATATGTGTAACTAGACATTCACCTGCAAACATACTTACCAATTCGAGTTAATCGTAAAACTATACAGAAAATAGGAATAAAATGCTTTATGGCATATTGTGCACACCATTCTACTCTAGAAAATAAATGAAATTTGTTAAGAAATAGGAATATTTTGTAATGTACTTGAATATCATATTAAATTAAAGGAATTGGATACCTAGAGACAAACCTATATAGCTTTCTTTATTAAAATTTATTTAAATAAGGGCGTTAAGGAGGCGAAAATGCAAAACAGTCCCCGAACCACTGTATGGATATCACAACCAGCTTTCCCATGACAAATAGGACCTATGACAACAGACGAAATGTAATTAGCACGTGTAGATTAGGAATTAGAGCCGAAAATGCTTTTAACTTAATTGAAAAAAGGCATTACGGGGGCGAAAATGCAAAACAGCCCCCGAACCACCGTACCGATGTCACAACTAGCTTCCTCACGAAAAATAAGACCTGTGACAACAGACAGAATATAATTAGCATGTGTAGGTTGGGAGTTAGAGCCGAAAATGCTTTAAACTTAACCGAAAAAGGGCGTTGAGGGGGCGAAAATGAAAAACAGCCCTTGAACCACCATATAAATGTCACAACCAGCTTTCTCGCGACAAATAAGATCTGTGACAACAGATGGACTGTAATTAGCACGTGTAGGTTGGGAGTTAGAGCCGAAAATGCCTTAAACTTAACTGAAAAAGGACGTTAAGGGAGGAAAATGCAAATCAGCCCCTAAACCACCATACTGATGTCACAATCAGCTTCCTCACGACAAATAAGACCTGTGACAATAGACAAAATGTAATTAGCACGTATAGGTTTGGAGTTAGAGTCGAAAACGCCTTAAACTTAACTGAAAAAGGGCGCAAAGGGGGCGAAAATTTGAATCGGCCCCCCAAACCACCGTATGGATGTCACAACCAGCTTCCTCACGACAAATAGGACTAATGACAATAGACAGACTGTCATTAGCACGTGTAGGTTGGGAGTTATAGCCGAAAACGCCTTAAACTTAACTGAAAAAGGGCGTTAAAAGGGCGAAAATGAAAAACAACCCCCGAACCACTGTACGGATGTCACAACCAGCTTCCTCACGAAAAATAGGACCTATGATAATAGACGGAATGTAATTAGCACGTTTAGGTTGGGAGTTAGAGCCGAAAACGCCTTAAACTTAACTGAAAAAGGGCGCAAAGGGGGAGAAAATGTGAATCAGCCCCCGAACCACTATATGGATGTCACAACTAGCTTCCTCATGACAAATAGGACCAGTGACAACAGATGGACTGCCATTAGCACGTGTAGGTTAGGAGTTAGAGCCGAAAACGCCTTAAACTTAACCGAAAAAAGGCGTTAAGGGGGCGAAAATGCAAATCAGCCCCCGAACCACTATACGGATGTCACATCCAGCTTCCTCACGACAAATAGGACCTGCGACAATAGACAGAATGTAATTAGCACGTGTAGCTTGGGAGTTAGAGCCGAAAACGCCTTAAACTTAACTAAAAAAAGGTGCAAAGAGGGCAAAAAAGTGAATCGGCCCCGAACCACCGTACGAATGTCACAACCAGCTTCCTCATGAAAAATAGGACCAGTGAAAACAGTCAGACTGTCATTGGCACGTGTAGGTTGGGAGTTAGAGTCGAAAATGCCTTAAACTTAACCGAAAAAAGGTGTTAAGGGGGCGAAAATGAAAAACAGCCCCCAAACCACTGTACGAATGTCACAACCAGCTTCCTCACGACAAATAGGACCTGTGACAATAGACGGAATGTAATTAGCATGTGTAGCTTGGGAGTTAGAGTTGAAAATGCCGTAAACTTAACCGAAAAAAGGCATTAAGGGGGCAAAAATGTGAATCGGCCCCTAAACCACCTTACAGATGTAACAACTAGCTTTTGTCTGATAACTTTTGCAATCCAACTGATAGTTACTGGCGTGGCATATAGATCACCTTTTGTCGTGGTACAGATTACGATGGTAATTTCTACCACGCCAAATGGACATTTCACATGGTACTAAATATATTTTTTTGTATATGGACGGTTGGATTTTTGTATGCTCTCTATTTTGTGTGGAAGTACAATTTTAGTTTGGACAATAGTTGGTTTGTATGGAATATATACATTTACAGTTATTCATTTTTGGATGGATGGAAATAATTTGGATTGTGGAATGATTGATAAAATATGTATTGGTTTGTTTATATACATACTACAGGTTGCACGAAATATAGACAGGTTGTGGAGAAATTACAATTTTGTGATAAAACATAAGACCATTTTTTTGGTAACTCAACAATTCGTACTCAAAAAGGAAGTACATATTTCAGTGACTAAAATGTTATTAACCCTGCCAAATAGTGAACGTCAAATGATGTTTTGGCGATGGAAGAAAACAGAAGCTACTCTAGCCTTGCTGAAGGAAAAGTAATGAGGCAGAAAATTGTTAAACCAATATCAAATTACGAATGTTAGGATAAAGTTCTATCACAGTTACAAGGGGTGTGACATTATGCTCAAATGCTATATATGGAACTAATTTGTGTATTTAATTTTTATTTTTTATTTTTTTGTAGATGGCTTTTGGCATGGAGTTGTAGATATTCCATTTTTGTGGACGGATGACAATTTACACTTTTGTAAACTCCTGCATTTTTGTCGTCCTCTACTTTTTGTATAGGTTTGTATTAATTGTGCAAAATACTTTTGGCGGGGTACATAATATTTTTGCCTTCGAACAGATAATTGATGTCATGATCTATTCATTACCTTTTGTCGTGGTACATATTACAATGGTGTTAATATATTTTTGTATACGGATGATGAAATTTCCCTATGATCATTTATGTTATGTATGGAATTATTATTTTAAATTAGAATTAATGTATTTGATTTGTATGGAAGCCGACCTCATTTGATGGGACTTAAGGTTTGGTTTGGTTTGGTTTGGTTTGTATGGAATTATTGACATTTGAAGGTATTAATTTTTAGATGATTGGAAGTGAAATGGATGTAGATTGTTGAATGGGTGATAATATATATATAAACAAGTTTGTATATATCGTACAGGTTGCATGGAATATATACAGGTTGTGGGCGTGGACAAATTAAAAAAAAAAAAACATAAAATGATGTTTTGGCTACTAAAAAATTGGTAGCCAAAAATAAGGTCAATATTTTTGCCAACTAAATAGTTAGTAGCTAAAAAAAAGAATTAAATGAAAACAAATCTTTTGGCGCCTAAATATTTAATAGCCATAACAAATATGACTTTAGACGACTAATAATTTAGTAGCCAAAAAAAAAAAGAACAAAAAAAAGGTAAAACACTTTTGGCGACCAAACTATTAGTAGCCAAAACAGAAAATATTGGACCTTAGGCGACGAAAGTGTTAGTAACTAAGCAATTTAAGCTTTGGCGACAAAAATATTAGTCGTTGAAAAGTGCTTTAGGCGACTAAAACATTAGTAGCCAAACCGAAAATGTTAGACCTTAAGCTACTAAATTTTTAGTAGCTAAACAATTTAGGTTTTTGGCGACCAAAAATATTAGTCGCTGAAAATGTCATGTTAAATTTAGTTGAAACAGTTTTGGCGACTAAATTATTAGTAATTTAGTCGCCAATTACTTTCCCCGACTATCTTTCAACGACAAAGGTGGCGACCAAAAATATTAGTCGGCAAAAGGTTTTGGTGACCAAAATTGAACCTCTAGCGACTAAAAAGTTAGTCGCCAAATCTATCTTTTGTTGTAGTGTATTGATGGCTTGTCGATGGCTATGAAGACTTTGGCTCTCCTATTGCATCTATAAAAGGGTAGTGAATGGGAGGGGTTCAAGTGTGGAAATCAGAAGAAAGTGTAATTAGAGTGTAAGCAACTGAGTGAGTGTGAGTGTGAGTGTGAGTGTGAGTGTGAATAAAGTAAGAGTATTGTCTCCTATTCCTCCATTGTTGTAATCTTTGTATTTCTCTCCATATAGTGAAATCCGTTGCCTGTGGACATAGGCACATTGCCGAACCATGTAAACCTTATGTTTCTCTTTTCTCTGTATGTGTTTGGTATTCGTTTTGGTCTCATAAGCACAACAATTGGTATCAGAGCATCGTTGTGCCAAAATAGAGCACCTGCAACTCTGTTTTTTGTAAATTGAAAAATTCAAAGTTGTCGAAATCAACTTCTGAACATACTAGGAGGTCCGACTCGACGAGAGGAATCCAAACCCAAAAAGAAAAGCCAAAACGAACATCTGGGCGATCCACACGCGCCAGTCAAAGTTTGACGTGTAAAGTCAACTCTGTATCAGGTGACCCATGCGCTGCGAGAGGAAGAAGACGGCCATCTGTCTCCAAAACTAATACTTCAAATATTTATTTGGAGGAAAAAATACTAAGTGGAGCTGTGTCCAAGTACTTAAGGCTTAGTACCTATTCTTCTTTGCCAGCGTTTGAATCCTTTTGGCAACAAGTTTGCAAATTATTTTTGCAAGACTGCCACGTCATCTTCACATCAGCGCCACGTACCAGCCCAGTCACTGCCACGTCTGTACCACATAGTTGCCAACTCATCACCGTATATCGAGTCACGTCAACAACTAGATTGTCCAATCAATGCCACATGTCATCTACATCACCTGATCAGCCATGTCAGCGTCACAGTCAACTCTAATGAAATATTCTGTTTTGGACAAAATATTCTTAGGCTAGACAGAATATTCTCTTCCTCTAATGGAATATTCCCAAAAAAAGTTTTCGGTCAATTTCCAAGCCAATTTGGGGCTATTTTTGACACAGGAAGGCTTGTTTCTAGCTAAATTGACCGTTCCGAATGCAATCGCGAATTTATTTTTTTTTAAAATTCGGACCTGAAGTTTGAGCGAAGTTTTCAGAAGCTTAGAATTTGCCTTGTTTTGGGCACTTCAAACGTCTGTTATCGTTTGTGGTGGAGATTATTGAAAAGTCTCGATGGCAGAATCTACAGACATGAGATCAATCGAGTCTACAAGTAACCCCGCAATTACAAGTAACTCTCGACATTGGACCTTAGTGTCCCATGCTAAGTTTGAGGTAGAAAAGTTTGATGGAAACAGCAATTTCGGCATATAGAAATGTGAAGTTAAAGACATTCTTGTCTAGATGAATCTATATTTCACTCTAGGAGACAAACCAGAGAGCTTAGACGAGTTAAAGTGGGAGAAAGTTAATCTCCTAACCTGCAACACCATCTGACTTTGCCCTGCAAAAGAGGAGAAATACGCCTTCACAAAATATGATACTGCGAATAAGTTGTGGAAGGTGCTGGAAGACAAGTTCATGACAAAGAGCATTGGGTGCAGACATGAGATCAATCGAGTCTACAAGTAACCCCGTGACTACAAGCAACTCTCGACATTGGGCCCTAGTGTCCCATGCTAAGTTTGAGGTAAAAAAGTTTGACGGAAACAACAACTTCGGCATGTGGAAATGCGAAGTTAAAGACATGCTTGTCCAAATGAACCTGTATTTCACTCTAGGAGACAAACTAGAGAGCCTGGATGAGATAAAGTAGGAGAAAGTTAATCTCTTGGCCTGTAGCTCCATCTGACTTTGCCCTGCAAAAGAGGAGAAATACGCCTTCATGGAATATGATACTGCGAAGGAGTTATGGAAGGCGCGGGAAGACAAGTCCATGACAAAGAGCATTGAGAACCAGCTCTATCTGAAGAAGATGTTGTTTCATTTCGACTATAAGAAAGGTATTTCGATGAACGAACACCTAAACAACTTTAATAAAATTCTTGCCGCCTTGAAGAACCTGGATGTTCAAATCGATAATGAAGATAAAACACTGTTAGTGTTAAATTCCTTGCCTAACACATAAGATCATCTTACCATCATTTTACTATATGGTAAAGAAAAGATCAAATATGTTGATGTTTCAAATGCCTTGGTGAATAACGAGTTTAGAAGAAAATATAAGTTTGCAAACAGAGACTCAACATCTGAGGCATTGATAGTCAGAGGCAAGACGACTAACATAAGATATACAGGGTGCAGAAAGTCTCACACTTAAAATCTAGGGGGAGATCATCAGACAGAAGACGTCTTAAAAAAGACGAGTGTGCCTATTGTCACCAAAAGGGGGCACTAGATAAAAGATTGCTCAAATAAAGACAAGAAAGAGGAAAATGTGAACGATGCATGAGATAAAGATAATGGTGAAAGATCAGCTTTTACAGTTTCATCACTTGGCCATTTTGATGAATGGATTCTAGATTCCGGATGTTCCTACAATATGTGTCCTAACAGGCATTGATTCTCGAGCTCACAGGAGTTTGATGGAGGAGTTGTGCTAATGGGCAACAACAATGCTTGCCGAACAAAGGGGATTAGAATGATTCGGCTAAAAATGCATGATGGAACAATCAGAATTCTCAAAGATGTTCGGTATGTACCGGATTTGACAAAGAATCTCATCTCAGTGGGAGTTTTCAACTCCAAAAGTTATAAAGTAACTGTTGAAGGTGGAGTTTTCAAAGTTATACGATGAGCATTTGTTGCAATAAAGGGTACTTAGAAGGGAAATTCATATATTTCCTAGACGGCTCTACAATCACAGAGAGAGTGGCTGTCTTCACCAACTCAGAGGATGATACATCAAACACTTCCAGACTTTGGTACATGCGCCTAGGGCATGTCGATAAGAAGGCTTTACAAGGGTTGGTAAAGCAAGGCCTGTTAAAAGGTGCCAAAACATGGAAGGTTAAGTTCTGCGAGTATTGTGTACTGGGCAAGCAAACAAGAATCAAGTTTGGTACCGCTATTCATCATACCGAAGAGATCCTAGACTACATTCACACCGGCGTGTGGGGTCCTTCCAAGAATGTTTCTTTGAGAGGTAAACACTACTTTGTGTCGTTCATTGATGATTTCTCAAAGAGAGCCTAGGTTTACACAATAAAGCACAAAGATGAGGTATTAGACATCTTCCTTACATGGAAGAAAATGATTGAAACCCAGACAAGCAAGAAAATCAAGAAGCTTAGATCCGACAATGGCAACGAATACACATCAAATCCCTTTTTTGGAGTTTACCAAAGTGGAGGGATAGTGAGATATTTCAAAGTTCATGGAACGCCGCAGCAAAATGGAGTTGTAGAACACATAAACTGCACTTTGGTGGAGAAAGTCCATTGTATGCTGTCACATTCAGGATTGAACAAGGCATTCTGGGGTGAAACATTGAACTATGCCCTTCATCTTGTCAACAAACTACCTGCTGCAGCACTAGATGGCAAGACTCCCATGGAGGTATGGTCAGGAGCACCAGTTACTGATTATGATTAGTTGTGTATCTTCGGATGTCCAGCTTATTTTCATATTATACACTCTAAGTTGGATACTAGAGCCAAGAAAGTTGTCTTCTTAGGCTTTAGTAACGGTGTCAAGGGATACAGACTCTGGTGTTCTGAATCAAAGAAAGTTGGGGTAATTATTTAGTAATTCCAGAGTATAGATACGTAGTATTCCATAGCATTGTAATTGGTAGAGAAAGTGGGTAGGTGGGGTATTGTGTTGAGTGATTGGAAAACATGATGAGGTATATTGAATGATGATTGGTTAACGAGTATGGACACGCGGTACTTCAAGAACATTCTATAATTTCCCAGAAAGTTATCACTAGAAGAGACGTTACCTTTGATGAGTCTGCAATGCCGAAGCGGGCAAATCCTCAAGAGAATGAGGAAGTATTGAAGAAATCAGAGCAGGTGAAGTTTGTTACTCCAGTAAAGATTGTTCAGACAGTCAATAATCCTGAAGAAATTTCAGCTGATAACTCTAAAGAAGATTTTGAAGAGAGTTTAGATGAAAATGAAAATCCAACTCAAGAGGTCTCACAACAATCAAAACCCACTGCAACTAGAAAAGGAAAAAGAGTTACCAAACAACCCACTTAGATGGTCGATATGGTGGCCTATGCACTTTTGGTCATTGATGACAATGCTCCGTGCACTTTCAAAAAAGCCGTGCGGAATGTAGAAAGTGTCAAATGGAAGGAGGCTATGGATGAGGAGATCAGGTTACTTCATAAGAACCAGACTTGGGAGTTGGTGTAACTTCCAAAGGGAAAGAAAGTAATTGGGTGTAAGTGGGTTTACACAAAGAAGGAAGGCATTCCAGGCAAAGACAACATCAGATTTAAAGCTAGCTTGGTAGCTAAAGGCTATGCCTAAAAAGAAGGAATAAACTACAATGAGGTATTCTCACCTGTTGTAAAGCACATGTATATTCATGTATTACTAGCTTTAGTTGCACAATTTGATCTCGAGCTAGCCCAACTCGACGTCAAAACTACCTTCTTACATGGAGATCTAGAAGAAGAGTCCCAGCCATATGGTTTCAAAGTTGCTGGAAAAGAGAATTGGGCTTATAAGTTGAACAAATCGTTGTATGGGTTGAAGCAATCCCGAGACAATGGTACAAGCGATTTGATCGGTTCATGAAGGAAAAGAAATACACAAGAAGCCAGTATGATCAGTGTGTATATTTCCATAAGCTTCCAAATGGTTCCTTTATCTATTTGCTCTTATAGATGATATGTTGATTGCCTCTAAGAGTAAGGTGGAGATTTGTTGAAGATTGGCTCTTATTCGCCATAGTCAACAATAGTTGCTGATTGAAGGCAAATGAAGGAGCTGAAGATTTAGGCTAAAGATTTAGTCGAGTCACTCCATGGTAGGGTGACAGATCTTTAGATCTTGTTGATGGCTGCCATAAATGCTGTTGGTGGCCCGTCAATGGCTATGAAGACTTTGGCCCTCACTTTGCATCTATAAATAGGTAGTGAATGAGAGGGGTTCAAGTGTGGCAATCAGAAGAGAATGTAATTACAATGTAAGCAATAGAGAGATTGAGAGTGTGAGTAGAGTAAGAGTGTAATCAGAGTGTAACCAATAGAGAGACTTTGTTGAACCACGTAAACCTTGTGTTTCTCTTTTCTGTGTGTCTTTGATATTCGTTTTGGTCTCACAAGCACAACACCAACAGTATGGATTGTGTTTATGTAAGTTTCAACTTCAACACTCCCAAATGGGACTAATGACTTGCCAACCTTGTGAGTAAACAAACATCTCTTGTTCAAGTAAAAATACATATTATGAGGGTGCAATTTTTTTTATTTTTTATTATTGAAATGGAAATTACAAAACATCCAAAGTTTATTCCCAAACAGGACACAAATGTATAGTTGTCTTTTTCATCAACCAAGGTTGCATCTCTGCCATTCTACAGTTAATTAAACAAAAATGGGTGATTTGGTCAGGTCAATTATTTCAGAACGAACATAAGGAACTTTTCTCTTCTTGCTAGTTGACCTAATTCTGTAGCCAGGCGAGGGGGATGACAAATCTATAACCTCAACTTCACTAGGAGCAACAGGACCGTTAATTGGAGGTTGATCATTATTAGCAGCTCTTCTGGTTGGCAATTCTTCGCTGCTTGGCTGATCCAGTTCAACCTTACTACTCTCTTCAGTAAATGCAAACACATCTCTATCTTTGACTGCTTCTAATGTGTTAAAGGTACTAGTAAGAAATGAAGGCGATAAAAATGACTGTCTATGATCTTCAGTTGAACTATGCAACTGTCTCATGCTAATGTCTTCTACACATCCATTCAGGCCATGAGTAGTCATCTCTTCATTTCTCTTCCAGTAATCTCTCCGATAATCAACTGTCATATCTATCAATCCTTCGCTTACAGATCCATCACTACTGGTTTTGTTGCATATTTCATTATCATCATCCCGGTGATCTTCATCGTCATATATATTATGATCGCTGCTTGTATTTGTATAGCAAGGAAGCTCATCCATGGAACAAACTTGGACCTTCATGTGCTCCGGTAGGCTTGGGCAACCAGCAGAATGCTGAGTATATTGTGTTGACAAAAAGTTCACTGTAAGGTGCAGGCTAAACCACAAACAGAAAATAGGTAAGTCACTGGCCAATAAGTTGAATCAAAACCATGTATCACACTCATGAGAAACAAAAACAGCTTACTTCTGCCAAGCCGGGATAGTGAGCATTGTGTAGCCAAGTTTGATCTTATTAGCAAGGCCGGAGAGGGACTTAAAAGTTACAGCTGCAGTCCTCACAGCAAGCGATTCTGTTGGGTGCTGCCAGGCCCATTCAAACTACAAGTTTCAGTAGAACATTATTTTAGCACCATACTCTTTCTTCATCATTTAACTTTTTTTTAATAAAGACTACAAATGGATTTGAACCCCCAAAATTTCATGTGATAATTTCTTATATGCCTGAGTTATCAAAATTGAAGAATTCAGTAAATCTACCCCCAAACCATTGTGTGTGGGGGTTTTTTTTTATGGGTGCAAAGCCCATTGAGAGATTTGTGTTTGGTTAGCTTCTCCAAACATATTTTCACCTCTTATTTTGAGTAGTGTCTTGTTTGTTTAAAATTTTCAAAAATTAATTTTACACCCACTTTTGAAAATTCTTTCCAAGGCGAGAAAATTTGGACTAACCAGTCGTCTTCTCAAATGTCCGGCCGGTTAACCGAAATAGTGCTAATTTTTTTTTTTTTAAATACAATTGGTACTTGTTATTTTTTATATTTTAAATTAAAAAAATTCGAGTTTTGAATAGAATTTTGAATTGTGTGTTTGGTTATGAGTTATAAATTTTTAAATCAAATATCATATGTCACATTAAAAATTTCAAACTTAATTCAAAATTATTTTCAAAACTCCTAACCAAATAAATATTTCACGCTCAAATCATAATTCCAAAACTCTTCCAAACACACCTTGGATTTTACAATCACTGCCCTCATGGCTAAGGTGTACCAGTCAAATTTAGCATTAACGGCAATAAACAATGAATAATAAGCAATAAACTAAAATTCCCATCAAGAAGAGATTAGAAAAAAAGGGCTATCATATTGAAAACTGCCCAAGATTTCCCTGGGTAACCAATTGAAATAAGAACCCTAGAGAAAAGGTTAGTAATGTAACCTGGACAGCAGAAACATTGGTAGGGAAACCATAGATGCACATAACCATTTCCCAAGGCCACTTTTTCTTCGTCCTCCATGCTCCGCTCTCTATTTCCTCATTATGCTGCCTAATTCTACACCTTGGATTCACTGTAAATCTATCAGATTTGACAAAAAAAAGATCATGATGAGAACTCTAAATAAAATAAACAGAGAGTTTAAATTGGAAAGTGATGAGTGAGAAGGAGACGAACCCGATGTAGGTGTGACCTTTGTGCCTGGGGCTGAGAGAAGTTAGGAGATAGCAGGCGAAGAAACCTCCTTTCTCTTCTCCAAGACTCGGTCTTTCGTTTCCTTCTTCTCCCCTTCCTTCTCTTCCAGAAATTAGGGTTTCTGATTTCTCTGATCGCCCCTTCCTTCTCCCCATCTCTCTCTCTCTCTCTCTCTCTCTGCGTGTGTGTTTGTGTGGAGGCCGATCTATCAATTTTCTTGGTATCAGCGGATGGAATTCGACCGTTGCAAAACTAAATAAATATAAATAAATATTATTGAAAGTTTTAAAACAATTTAATATTTAAAATGTGCCCCTACTACCGTAAGTGCCATTTTGAAAATATGGTAAAAAGTCACGTTTTTGGATAAAATGTCTAAAAACGTGGCTGCCAAAAACGTCAAAAAAGTCATTTGGCAAGTGCTAAAAACGCAGCCCTAAAATTACAAATTAGGGCCTATGAAAAATAAATAAAAAAATAACTCTCTTATGTTGGGTAAGGGTATTTTGGTCATTTTAATTTGATTTGACACCATAAATAAATATTAAACTAAAAAGCAAAAAGTCTTCCCAAATCACTTCTAAAAAAGCCAAAAAGCTTGGTAAAAAGCCAAAAACAAACTATTTTATATGACCACTCTAAAAATAAAATCTATTTTATATGTGAGTAAAAATATAGATTATGGTACATATGTGTTTTATAACTACAAAAAAAAAAATGATATAATTTTATATTTTTTGAGTTATAATTAAAATATTTTTTTAAAAAAAGAAATAATTAAACACAAAAAAATCATAGCCAAATATTTCAAAATAATGTCATAAAAAATATAAAAAAAAATTAATTATAATTAATGAAGAAAATAATATAATTAAAAATACATATAATATGAGATGTTTATAATAGAATCTCCTCTTTTGTATATCTCTCTTCTATAAAAGTGGATGAAGGCAATGGTAGCAATTTCTATTTCTTATTAGTTTCTATGAATTATTCATAATTACATATTTACATTATGTGATTTTTTTTTTTTTTTATCAGATATATACAATAAAAAAAAAAAAACACATAATGTAAATATGTAATTATGAATAATTCATAGAAACTAATAAGAAATAGAAATTGCTACCATTGCCTTCATCCACTTTTATAGAAGAGAGATATA